CAAGCACATATGCTTTCCTTCTGTACGCAGATTTCCTGTGACTGATGAGATTTTCGAGATGAAATCGCTTTAATTGATTCCACATGGGTCCAATTTTGAAGTGTAGGCAACCGATACAATCATTTGGGATGGTCTGTATTGTCTTTTATCTTACCTTCGGAATATTACGTCATACTAGTTAAATTTTGATATCTTCGAAAATTTGATTTCAAATCGGCTTCTCCCCAAAACTAATCGAACATTGAAATCAAATAACCGATCTCCTTACCATTCTGGAAGCTGTTTGTTTTACTGAGTCACGCTTTTCTCTCCCTATGTCCGGGTTCGGTCACTGAATCACAGTTAGTATCCTGATGTTTTTCTACGTCTTAGCCTTCTATCATAACTGATGGAACAGCAAGCCCAAACGCAAGCCTCTATGTCATCTATGTTGAGTATATTTTGCATCTTTATGATGTGAACTGACCGATGATGAGCAGACCAACCAACTTCAGTGTACAAAAAGCGTTTTCCGGTTTCTCTTTCCGGCAGACACAAACGCAAAGTAAGTTTCACTGAGCATTATCTCTAGTGTATGAACATAAAGAACCCGAGGAAAATAATTTTAACTCTCTTATGCATTCCATTTTCCGGATACAAAGAAGGGACCGCGAAATACGAAGTGATGAAGTGAGGTAATGATGCACAATTAGTTGGCAGTTTATTTGGTTTGGCGATGGACCGCACTTCTTAATTACGGTCGACGGCACTCTTGATGCACCTCACATGTCTAAGCTGTTCGTCAAACAATTTGTGGAACACCAAAATTGATCACTAACACTTAACAACATATCATACTTTTTATAATTGTTTGGGTCAGAGCTAAACAGGTGGACAAATGAGAGTCTTAGATGCAGCGGGTGCTTCAGGAATGAGGTATTACAATTTTAAGTGCTGAATTACCAATTATGTTAAACCAATGACGAAGGAACTCTATATCCCGGACTGTGTATGGTAGGAAAAACAGCGAGACCTTCCTTTAGGTCTTCAGCAAGCAGTAAGCGTTCACAAGGCTCAACGCAGAATGATTCTTTATTTCACCTCTTGAATTTGGTATCCATTTCTAGTAGGCATCACTTCTCAATCATATTGATTTCGTTTCCCATATCTTTTGACCAGCTTCTTAGATATCTATAACCACTGAATGTCCCAGCCACTTAACCGTAACATGCGGAAGACAAACACAGATTGTTTATTTTCATATACTCTTGTCTAATTTGCCTTGCAAAAGTGGAACAACCGGATAAACTGTGATAAGCTCCGATGAAAGAATTAGGTTTTCGCGGTCGCTCGCTCATCTAACTGCTTAACTGTCATTTTCATCTAGTTAGCCCTGGCAACTGCATTTCATTTTCCTTCAACCGTTTCCTATTTCCCAATGACAACGCATAGACAGAACTAAAACTAATTGAGCAGTATCATTCAAGTGAACTACTTGACTTTCACCCTTGGAAGTAGTCGATATTGGTCTTTACGTCCTCAGACGGTTTCCTGCAAGCTGGAGGCACTATCAGTGCTAAGAAGCAAAAGAAGACCGTACCCTTTTTGCACAGATATGTCAATGCTAAGGAATTTCATTGAGCATTGTATCCTTCCACACTTCGTTACCACTTTTCTGCGATTTTTCTTGGTCTAATGAAAGCTGATTTTAGTTTGTCTGGCAGTGAACTCACAATGAGTAGCAATATTTCTCAAATTATTTTCTCAGTTTTTCTAAACGAAATTTGTGACGAACATGTGGATTCTTGCTGAATAATTGAAGACCAAATTTTATCAGATACAATACACCCACTACATATTACAAGTAAATCTCATTCCTCCTTTAGCTCCAACTACCGACTTATTTCATCTGGCATGAGCGTGTACTGAAACTCATTGATAACTCATCTTGTCTGGATTTTGGCTGATGAAAAGAAATTCCTTTCACAACTCTATGATTACTTGATCAGTTGATTGGAACTGTTCTACGCAGAGTGTTTGGTTTGATAGGTGGTATCCACATTGAACTGGTACGGTTTACAAGTGACCCCGAGAAAATGGGTATTCCCTCACTAATCAATAACACATTTGACTTATCACGAGATTTTAATGCCAACTGAAATCAATGGGGAACGTTTAAGCTCCAGAACAACGACCAAATCAGCTGACAGATAGCACACATTATACTTGTTCTATAGTCTGAATGATCGTTGGAACATTACATGCGGGATCGGCTCCAATTATTTACTTAGGCCAAGTTATAATTTATTGGAAGAAAACGGAATCTCCAAATCAACTATTATTTTTCCTTCCATCACCGTGCGAGATGCCGCACCGAATGCTGATAATAAAGCAGCTCATCGAAGCTTCTTTGTGTTTTGTATTGGGATCCATTGTATAGATTTGTGTTAGTAGTGAATTAGATATCTCGCCAGATTTTCGCTGTATTTATAATCTGCCCTACTTCACAATGATTCAATTCTTCAAATGGACCGTTTTGTCATTCAAGTTGGAGTGGAACAGTTAAGAAAGATAAATTTTATAACAACGAGATCGAAACAAGAAATCATTATTTTGAAAGGCGTCAAAGTTCTCCCCAGATAAACACAAACATCGTCTCAGTGTATCTTTCATCAACTTTTGCTCTTATAAGTATATTATTATACTGTTAAAAGTGGCTTCGACTATGAGTGAAACGAAGTGATTGCTATTTCATTTGTTCAGCTAGTCCATTGAGTTATCAGATTTATCGAACAAAGTTCAGCATGTGGTGCTCTATGCCGGATAGTATATAAAGATGGTTTGTTCTTATGCTTCGGTTTTATTTGATCACCTTGAGCACGGTTTACAGTCTCACAGCATTCACTGCTCATAGTAAACTTGATCATTAACAGTATGTGACCTATGACTGCTTTCTAACGCCAGCCTTATTAACAACCGACTCGCACACACACACGTGGAAAGAGATAAAGAACAATCGCTTCTGACTCAGGAATGTTGAGCTCACTCACATTCTGTCAACTTTTCCAGTGATATGCATACCCCTCCCTCGGAAAATAATGCTAGCAATAAGCAATATGAAGTGAACCTTTGTTAGCCGAGTGGTCAGTAATTTAGTCAGAGGCGTGATTGTCTCGAATTCGTGTCTATTTTCTTTCACCAACCTTCGACTTGGCAGTCTGCAATGACCAAAGAGGTACTCCATGGGTACAGGCATTCATCAGGAAGTTCACCGTTCACTACTGAATGCGATTTCGTGAAAAAACTTCGTTTTCATATTATTTTGTGTAGGGCACGCTAATGATATCACCATTCCACTCAGCTTCCAGTTAAGGACATTGAAATAATTTCATTGAATAATCAATAACTTTAAATGATACGATTGTG